CGCACTGGATTGCACGCAGCACTACGGCCCGTTAGCATTCGGTTCTCATACTCGCACTGGATTGCGCGCAGCACTGTGCCTTGTTAGTGTTCAGTTCTCATGTTCGCACTGGATTGCGCACAGCGTTATGCCTCGTTAGTGTTCGGTTCTCATGTTCGCACTGGATTGCGCACAGCGTTATGCCTCGTTAGTGTTCGGTTCTTATGCTCGCACTGGATTGCACACAGCACTACGCCTCGTTAGCTTTCGCTTTCCCTTTCTACAAATAAAATACAAATGTAAATAATTGGACATTCGCTCGGTGCAGCGGGCGTTCCGGGGCTATTGAAAGCGTCTAAATCACTGCAATGGACGAGAAATATTCAAATTAAAATATCTTCTCTCCTGCCCCCCCCCTCCCCCCCTTGAAAAAAGAAGAAGATCGCGGCCATGATTTATCTGATACATTGGAAACATGCTAATCGCGTGACAGCGAGCGCCTGGGGGGCAATTTATCAAAAAGGACGATGTTGTTGGGGATCTATATCTAATTACCAGTAATGAATGAGGTGCGTCGCATTAAGACAGACTCTCCAGTTTGTTATGGAAATAAGACGATCCCAGCAGGCGAGGCACTTAATTAAACCGCCGCACGGCGCGCCACTACGGAGAGACGCGACCCAAATGAGCTGATTGTTATTATGAGTTTTGATTAAGATTATTTTTTCTTCCTCCTCATCACTTGGATTACAAAGTGGAGGAAAGTCGCCAAGAACGCCGGGCGCTTAATCATCGGGCCGGGTGGTTATCGCCTGCGGTTGGCTCGACATTACGTCCCGCTAAGTCCTCCTTTCCAATCACGGCGTTACTTTAGGTCATAAAAAGGAGGAAAATTGTAAAACTGCGCCCATTAGGATCGCCATTCTCTTATGTTCCATAGACAAGAAGATTTCCCAAGATGGCTTGGCGCGACGTCCTTATGTCCAATCATGGCTCCCCAAGATGGCTTGGCGCGACGTCCTTATGTCCAATCATGGCTTCCCAAGATGGCTTGGCGTGACGTCATTATGTCCAATCATGGCTTCCCAAAATGGCTTGGCGTGACGTCATTATGTCCAATCATGGCTTCCCAAAATGGCTTGGCGTGACATCATTATGTCCAATCATGGATCCCCAAGATGCCAGTGTGTGTCCAATCAAACAAGCTGAGCAGGCATGAATTAAATTTGCATGTATTTGAATAATTCCACACTGCAAGGGAAGGATATGCAAATTATGTTGACCATGATCCTTTGCAATTGGATCAGAACACTCTTCCTAATGTGCAACAACAAGAAGAGAATGAATATGGGGGGAAACAAAAACAAAACATAAAGTGGATACTAATATGCAAATTAGGTCCTTTGCAATTCTATCATTTCTCAGCTTTTTGGCGAAGATCAATGTCCAGTAGAGGCGCTCCGTGATGTCCACCAGGCAGTTGGTAGTAATTCCCCCGGGAAAACCAGAAGGGCCCAGTTTCTTCTGATTTGAATGCATCTATCTACCTTGTCTAGCCAGGGCTCAGGGAGGCAGAGAGTCCACGGAGTGGTTGCCTCAGCACTTGGGGGTGGGATCCCACATGTGAGAGGTGCACATGGTCACCGTTCCAAAACCCTTTTTCTGCACTGCGCCTTCTAGGTCTTAGGTACAGGGCAATTTTTAGGCTACAGGCCTCAAGCAGGACACAGACAACAAGTCAAAAACCTGACAGGGGTTCTAATCTTAGATTGTAAGCTCCCAGGATCAGGCCCTCCCTCTTAGATTGTAAGCTCCCAGGATCAGGCCCTCCTAACCCTCTTCTATTGATCTGTATTGTTGCTGTATTGTCTCCCGTTATATTGTAAAGTGCTGAGCAAACTGTTGGCGCCATAAATCCTCTATAATAATAATAATATAAATCCTGAATAATAATAATAACCATTCCCTACTACATCGAAAACTACGTTTAGGAAAAAGGTTTTGGCTTTACATACATTTTAGGTCATCTATGAGGTAGGGAATCTCAAATAGGCCTCCTGACATCACCAAAGGGTCAATCACAAGGTTCACTGCATGGAATGCTACAAAACACTGCAGATACAAAAGAGGAAAAGATGGTCTGAGATCGGGGACATGTATCAAAATTGGTTGGAGACTTAGGACCTGCAGCATGGTTGGCTAGAAACTGGAAACGTTGCATGGTTGGTTGGAGACTGCAGATATGCTGCTTGGATGTTTGAAGACGGAGATCTGCTGCACAGTTGGTTAGACAGTGAGGACCTGCTGCAAAGTTGGTTGGAGACTGAGGACCTGCTGCTGAGTTGGGTAGAGACAGTTGAGAAGATGCTGCAAGGTTGGTTGGAGACTGTGGATCTGCTGTATGGTTGTTTGGAGACTGCTTGGATGGTTCAACACTGGGAAATGCTGCATGGTTGATTTGAGACTGGGGACATGCTGCATGGTTGCTGACAGACTTTGGACCTGCTGCATGGTTGGTTGGAGACTACAGACCTTCTATAAGGTTGGTTGTGGACTGCAGACCTCCTGCATGGCTGTTTGGAGACTGTGGACCTAGTGCAAGGTTGGGTGGAGACTGCAGACTTGCTGCTTAGATGGTTGATTTGAGACATGCTGCAAGGTTGCTTGAAGATTTCGGACCTTGCATGGTTGGTTGGGGGACTGAGGACCTGTTGCATGGCTGGTTGGCAGAAATGCTGCTTGGATGGTTGGAGATGGGAAACATGCTGCAATATTGGTTGGAGACCAGAGACATGCCTCACAGTTAACGCCTGAGAACATATTACATGAGGTTAGTAGAGATCACCACTATGACCAGCTTTACAGATCAATGCCCCCACCCTCATTACAGACTGCGGGATCTGAGGGCCGCACAACAAGTACCTAAGGGCTGGATGTGTCCCTCAGGCTGCATGTTGGACACCGGGGCTTTACGTCATTTCAGCAATTGGTTACTTTGTACCGTCCTATGGAGGGAGCCGGCTGGATAATCGCTGTGACCTCGTGTGTCCTGAAGTCATGAAGTCTTCCTCTCGCTGCCCCCTGCTGAGTAATGCAGGAATGATGAGGTGACGCACCCAGTGACTTGTGTGCTGATTGCTGCTCTTTATTGCCGGCGGCATCACAGATCAACCAACATGAGATAAAAGTCCCATTATAATGATTGATGGTTATATCACCAATAAATCATCGTACGTATGTGAGAGATAACATGAGAGCGTGACATCCGAGTATTGACAGAATTCCAACAATATATATCACATGATAAACCAGCGACCCTAAAAAGTCCATTACAAGGAGCAGATACCGAGAATGACACCCGGCATCCAGGACAGGAGAAGTGGGACTGTGCAGAGTCCATACATACAGAATGGGGACAGATACAGAGAATGACACCCGGCATCCAGAACAGGAGAAGTGGGACTGTGCAGAGTCCATACATACAGAATGGGGACAGATACAGAGAATGACACCCGGCATCCAGGACAGGAGAAGTGGGACTGTGCAGAGTCCATACATACAGAATGGGGACAGATACAGAGAATGACACCCGGCATCCAGGACAGAAGTAGGACTGTGCAGAGTCCATACATACAGAATGGGGACAGATACCGAGAATGACACCCGGCATCCAGGACAGGAGAAGTGGGACTGTGCCGAGTCCATACATACAGAATGGGGACAGATACAGAGAATGACACCCGGCATCCAGGACAGGAGAAGCGGGACTGTGCAGTGACTGTTGTCTGTTTCTATGAATTGTTTCCTGATTCTGGATGAACATTCTAGGACTCTGGCTCCCTCTGCTGGTCATATTGGTCGATGACGCTCGGAGAATCTCACTTGTATGGATTCTTCATGTTGCTGACTCTCCACCTGTAACTGACATGTTCAGTTTTCAGACACTTCCTGTCGGTCATTTCCTGTCAGTTGCTCTCTGCAGTTATAAATCATATTTGCTGTCCCGCCATTCACTGAGTTCTGTTTGGAGAATCTGAATTACAGCAAATGTTACATCCTTGGACTGCGATCTTATTTTTTATGGAAATCGGCTGGAGATGGCGAGACGATAAATTTCTCCATCATTATCCTTTGACTCATATAGAAGACTTTCTGCACACATTCGCAGCACTGGAAACGAGAGGTTTCGGCTGTGGAGCTGCCAGTGTGAATACACACCCTGGGAGGTGGAAGGAGTCTGTGTGGTGGATCCTCCCCCCCCCTTCAGACATACGCAGGTGTACCAGCTCCTCCCCTTCAGACATACGCAGGTGTACCGGCTCCTCCCCTTCAGTCTTGCACAGGCGTACCGGCTCCTCCCCTCCAGTCTTGCACAGGCGTATTGGCTCCTCCCCTTCAGTCTTGCACAGGTGTCGGCTCCTCCCCTTCAGTCTTGCACAGGCGTACCGGCTCCTCCCCTTCAGTCTTGCACAGGCGTGCCGGCTCCTCCCCTTCAGTCTTGCACAGGCGTACCGGCTCCTCCCCTTCAGTCTTGCACAGGCGTACCGGCTCCTCCCCTTCAGTCTTGCACAGGCGTACCGGCTCCTCCCCTTCAGTCTTGCACAGGCGTACCGGCTCCTCCCCTTCAGTCTTGCACAGGCGTATCGGCTCCTCCCCTTCAGTCTTGCACAGGCGTACCGGCTCCTCCCCTTCAGTCTTGCACAGGCGTATCGGCTCCTCCCCTTCAGTCTTGCACAGGCGTGCCGGCTCCTCCCCTTCAGTCTTGCACAGGCGTATCGGCTCCTCCCCTTCAGTCTTGCACAGGCGTGCCGGCTCCTCCCCTTCAGTCTTGCACAGGCGTACCGGCTCCTCCCCTTCAGTCTTGCACAGGCGTACCGGCTCCTCCCCTTCAGTCTTGCACAGGCGTACCGGCTCCTCCCCTTCAGTCTTGCACAGGCGTATCGGCTCCTCCCCTTCAGTCTTGCACAGGTGTACCGGCTCCTCCCCTTCAGTCTTGCACAGGCGTATCGGTTCCTCCCCTTCAGTCTTGCACAGGAGTGCCGGCTCCTCCCCTTCAGTCTTGCACAGGCGTATCGGCTCCTCCCCTTCAGTCTTGCACAGGCGTACTGGTTCCTCCCCTTCAGTCTTGCACAGGCGTATCGGCTCCTCCCCTTCAGTCTTGCACAGGTGTACTGGCTCCTCCCCTTCAGTCTTGCACAGGTGTACTGGCTCCTCCCCTTCAGTCTTGCACAGGTGTACCGGCTCCTCCCCTTCAGTCTTGCATAGATACCCCATGTCACTTTCTTGGTGCTTCAACGCGTCTCCAAAGCCCATAGAAGTCTATGACATCACTAGATAGCAGCACCTGCAGATTTTGAGGGGCTGTAATTCACCTTTAGCTTTGCTTTGGAGGTATTGCAGGCATGGGATATCCCAGGATGCACTGGGAAACCAACAAGGGAACCGGAAAGCTGTCATCAGCAGTCTCCTCTGGGTCATGTGTAAGTTCTGGGAGTGTTCTGTGCAGACATCATATCTAGTGTGCAGCGTGGAGCAGCAGGAAGATGGGGGGGGGGGGGGGGTCCAGACTGCAGAGGACCACATTGTGTGCTGGCAACCCTATAGTGGAAAGTGAAAGGGAACTGGAGAGGGAGGACTGAGGATCAGCAGAGATGGGGGACCGGAGCAGGAGAAACTAGCAGATGTCACTCCTGGTGTGAAGCATGAGAGCAAAATAGCAGAGCTGAGCAGGAACTGGAGAGAGAGAGAGAGAGGAGGATCAGAAAACGGGGGATCAGCAGAGCTGGGGCTTGTTACTGAGTGGGGGATCAGCAGAGCTGGGAGTACAACTGAGCTGGGAATCTGCTGAATGAGGGTACAAATAAGTCCAAATGGGTTCAGTGCTGATATAAGTTTTAAGGGCTTCCAAAGAAAAAAAAAGTTTTTTCAGTGGGAGGAATAGTGCCCCATCATTGGTGTCAGTTGGAGGAATAGTGCCCCGTCATTGATGTCAGTGGGAGGAATAGTGCCCCATCATTGGTGTCAGTTGGAGGAATAGTGCCCCGTCATTGGTATCAGTGGGAGGAATAGTGCCCCATCATTGGTGTCAGTGGGAGGAATAGTGCCCCGTCATTGGTGTCAGTGGGAGGAATAGTGCCCCATCACTGGTATCAGCGGGAGGAATAGTGCCCCGTCATTGGTGTCAGCGGGAGGAATAGTGCCCCGTCATTGGTATCAGTGGGAGGAATAGTGCCCCATCATTGGTGTCAGCGGGAGGAATAGTGCCCCATCATTGGTGTCAGCGGGAGGAATAGTGCCCCATCATTGGTGTCAGTGGGAGGAATAGTGCCCCGTCATTGGTGTCAGCGGGAGGAATAGTGCCCCATCATTGGTGTCAGCGGGAGGAATAGTGCCCCATCATTGGTGTCAGCGGGAGGAATAGTGCCCCATCATTGGTGTCAGTGGGAGGAATAGTGCCCCATCATTGATGTCAGTGGGAGGAATAGTGCCCCATCATTGGTGTCAGTTGGAGGAATAGTGCCCCGTCATTGGTATCAGTGGGAGGAATAGTGCCCCATCATTGGTGTCAGTGGGAGGAATAGTGCCCCGTCATTGGTGTCAGTGGGAGGAATAGTGCTCCGTCATTGGTGTCAGTGGGAGGAATAGTGCTCCGTCATTGGTATCAGCGGGAGGAATAGTGCCCCGTCATTGGTGTCAGCGGGAGGAATAGTGCCCCGTCATTGGTGTCAGCGGGAGGAATAGTGCCCCGTCATTGGTATCAGCGTGAGGAATAGTGCCCCATCATTGGTGTCAGTGGGAGGAATAGTGCCCCATCATTGGTGTCAGCGGGAGGAATAGTGCCCCATCATTGGTGTCAGCGGGAGGAATAGTGCCCCATCATTGGTGTCAGTGGGAGGAATAGTGCCCCGTCATTGGTGTCAGCGGGAGGAATAGTGCCCCATCATTGGTGTCAGCGGGAGGAATAGTGCCCCATCATTGGTGTCACTGGGAGGAATAGTGCCCCATCATTGGTGTCAGTGGGAGGAATAGTGCCCCATCATTGGTGTCAGTTGGCAGAACAGTATCTGTGACATCAGACTGAAAGCCTCAGGTGTGCTCTGTGGAGGGAGGGGGGGAGGGGGGGTGTCTCTTCCCTCCAATCAGCTCTCAGACCTCACTGGGGATTTGAAGGTTTACAATCAGTTTAAAGTTGTATCTAAAAACAAAAAGTTTTTTTTTCCCTTTGATTTTGGACAGATGATACAATGTTGGGAGCTCCTGCGGATCGCTCTGAAGAGATTTTCTTTGATTTCCCGTCCTGCAGACACAACAGGAAGTGGGTTGAAATCCCGCCAACGTGAGGGAAATCCCCTGGTGCACAGCTGCCCCCAGAACACGTCTCCATGGGATGTTCTCCCCTCTCTTCCTGTTCTGGTGACAACTGTAACATGTAGGATTTCCTGTGATTTCCTGTCTCAGTGACACCAGAACAAGGAGAGAGCATGAATCTCCTCCGTGGGGACACAGACAGCAATAGATACCTGACAGGGACTCCGCCCCTTCCAAACTCCACCCCTTCCAAACTCCACCCACAAATATCATTACAATAAACAAGAAACAAAGTTTTACTTAAACAATTTTTAATAAAATAGAACAATCTGACATTGAACAACGAAACTCCCCAATCCCGTCTGATGGAAGATGGACAGCGCCCCCCTCAAGGATCTCTATGTACAATCTGACACCCCCAGATCCCGTCTGATGGAAGATGGACAGCGCCCCCTCAGGGATCTCTATGTACAATCTGACATTGAACACCCCCGATCCCATCTGATGGAAGATGGACAGCGCCCCCCTCAGGGATCTCTATGTACAATCTGACATTGAACACCCCCCCCCCCCCCCCGATCCCGTCTGATGGAAGATGGACAGCACCCCCCTCAGGGATCTCTATGTACACTTCCTGTATACTAAAAATACCTGCTCACTAAAGAGACCCTGTCACTGACTATTCAGTAGTTTTCAAGCTCATCCTATCCCCCCAATCAGCTTATATCCCCTCCCTCCCCAGTGTCCTGCTGCTTTATCAGAGGCATCACAAATACCCAGTATGGAGGAAGGATATGACCTTCTCCAAGGATGGGCCTGAGCAGCCAATCACCAGCCCCTAATAGGGTTTTGGAATGGAGTGGTGGGTGAGTATGTGGGGGGAGGGGTGCTGGCCCAGTCACTGTACCCTGAATAAGCATGACAGGGTCTCTTTAAAACAGAATACCAACTGGCGTCAGGACCGCATACAGCACCCGGGTACAGACAGCGGCTGAGTGTGATGGGCAAGGCTGCCGCACTTTCTCCGCATGATTTAGGATGAGACCCCAAAAATGACTCAACCAATCGAATTCCACCTCTGTTTGTTCTGGAGAAAAATTAATATTTCTATAAAATTACAAACAGCGGTGTATACAACCTCCTACTTCTCACAATTGTAGAGATTATTAATCAGCTACATGGAGATGGGAGACAGAAAACTATCTGTGCAGAAAATACACCGAGCAACAAGCAGAGGGCGCCGGTGCAGCACTGGGAATACTGCAGGGAGTTGCAATACTGAATTGTCACCAGCAGAGGGCGCCGGTGCAGCGCTGGGAATACTGCAGGGTGCCGCAATACTGAATAATCACCAGCAGAGGGCGCCCGTGCAGCACTGGAAATACTGTAGGGAGCCGTAATGCTGAATTATCACCAGCAGAGGGCGCCGGTGCAGCGCTGGGAATACTGCAGGGTGCCGCAATACTGAATAATCACAAGCAGAGGGCGCCCGTGCAGCACTGGAAATACTGTAGGGAGCCGTAATGCTGAATTATCACCAGCAGAGGGCGCCGGTGCAGCGCTGGGAATACTGCAGGGTGCCGCAATACTGAATAATCACCAGCAGAGGGCGCCCGTGCAGCACTGGAAATACTGTAGGGAGCCGTAATGCTGAATTATCACCAGCAGAGGGCGCCGGTGTAGCGCTGGGAATACTGTAGGGAGCCGTAATGCTGAATTATCACCAGCAGAGGGCGCCGGTGCAGCGCTGGGAATACTGCAGGAAGCTACTATACTGAATTATCACCAGCAGAGGGCGCCGGTTCAGCGCTGGGAATACTGCAGGGTGCCGCAATACTGAATTATCACCAGCAGAGGGCGACGGTGCAGCACTGAAAAAAACTGCATTAAGCTGCAATACTGAATTTACAACCAGCAGAGGGCGCCGGTGCAGAACTGGGAAAACTGCAGGGAGCTGCAATACGGACTAACAACCAATAGATGGCGCTCAGGTGACACCGGGAAAATGCTGCCTTTAGCGAACACAACCAATAGATGGCGCTCGTACATCACTGGCTATTTCTGCTTCAACCAACAGAGGGAGCTTATGAGTCACCGACACCACCACCTACAGCCAAAAGATGGCGCTGTGTGCGGAGCTCTACATTGAGTGAATGGAATGGACAGAGAAGCTGCTGCAGGCTGAGAACTACATCAGAACTCCTGCAGAGGGACTACAAGTCCCAGCATCCTCTCCTAGCAGCAGAAAAGCACCCACAGCTGTATGTCAGAGCGCCAGATTCCTGCTACGCCCCCCACAGGCCACTAAGCAACAAGGAAAGGTTCTTAGGCAGGAGGAGCTCCATACAGACTCCATGCTGACAATACAGGCTCAATACAGACTTCATGCTGACAATACAGGCTCCATGCAGAGATCACCCAGACATTAACCCCAAACTCACCTGTTGTCAGTTTCTATTACACATCATAAATGATGTTTATAACCAATGAGCCGCGAATCCCTTCCCGCTCCCCTGCAGTCTCACTCCTCATGCTGCATCCTGAGTGACACCTGCAGCCTCATTGTAGACTGACTCCTCCCCTCCCTGCAGAGCTGAGCTCCACCCCTAAGAGAAGAACAAACTCCACATAGTTCTGTCTCCAGGAGAATTTAAAAGGGGCATTTTTAGTTTCTTGGGGGAGTGACACCATGGAAGGTCGGTGACACCGTAGATAATTGACCCCCCATGGAAAGTCGGTGACACTGTGGAAGGTCAGTGACCACCTGTGGAGAGTCAGTGCACCCCCCCCCCCGTCCATGGAAAGTCGGTGACACCATGGAAGGTCGGTGACACCGTAGATAATTGACCCCCCATGGAAAGTCGGTGACACTGTGGAAGGTCAGTGTCCACCTGTGGAGAGTCAGTGCCCCCCGTCCATGGAAAGTGGGTGACACCATGGAAGGTCAGTAAACCCCCCCTATGGGATGTGGGTGACACCGTGCAAGGTCAGTGACCCCCTCATGGAAGGTGGGTGATACCATGGAAGGTCAGTGATTCCCCCCCATGGAAAGTGGGTGACACCATGGAAGGTCAGTAAACCCCCCCCATGGAAGGTGGGTGACACCATGGAAGGTCAGTAAACCCCCCCCTTCCCCATGGAAGGTGGGTGACATCGTGGAAGGTCATTGACTCCCCCCCCATCAAAGATGTGTGACTCCAATAGATGGTGGGTGACACCGTGGAAGGTGTGTGACCCCCATGCAAGGTGAGTGACACAAAGTCAGTGATCCCCATGAAAGATGGCTGACACCATGGAAGGTGGATGACACCGTGGAAGGTGTGTGACCTCATGGAAAGTCCGTGATCCCCATGGAGGGTGACACCATGGAAGGTGTGTGACCCCCAAAGGAAGGTGTGTAACTGTAGAAAGTCAGTGATCCCCATGGAGGGCGGATGACACCATGGAAGGTCAGTAAACACCCCCCCATGGAAGGTGGGTGACACCATGGAAGGTTAGTAAACCCCCCCCTTCCCCATGGAAGGTGGGTGACATTGTGGAAGGTCATTGACTCCCCCCCATCAAAGATGTGTGACTCCAATAGATGGTGGGTGACACCGTGGAAGGTGTGTGACCCCCATGCAAGGTGAGTGACACAAAGTCAGTGATCCCCATGAAAGATGGCTGACACCATGGAAGGTGGATGACACCATGGAAGGTGTGTGACCTCATGGAAAGTCAGTGATCCCCATGGAGGGCGGGTGACACCAGGAAAGGTGGGCGGAGATTCGCCCCCAGGCTCTGACGTATATAAAAAGAACAGACATGAAGAAGCGAACGCCTGGCGCAATACCATCGATTTATTGTTCATACAAAGAGATGCCAAACAAACGGATACAAAAGTAGAGAATAAAATCGCATGAAAACCACAAGATGCCGCAGCGTTGGGAATCATCGCGAATCGACACGCAACCCGGCTGGACCGGCGAGCTGTGCGTTTCGGGGGCACCCCTCCATTCATCAGAGCTATCTACAGTGCGGCGCCCCCCCCACACCCAACACGCCAGTCCAGCCGGGTTGCATGTCGATATGCGATTCCCAACACTGTGGCCTTTTGTGGTTGTCATGTAAACTCCTCCCCCCTCCCTCCTCCCCTCCCCCGCCCCCCATCCCCCGGGGTGAGGGTACAATAAGGCACTTCGTTGTGTGATTCTGGATCTGTGATGGAGGATTGGAATCGATGAGATTCGGGAACACCGAGAATGATACAAAGTAACACATCGTATCCAATCCGATCTATAACCAAAATACCACCACGTGGGGGGCGGGGCGTGACACCAAAGGGGGCGGGGCTATGTATAAAACATTTGCCGTGTCTTATCTCTCAGTGTATGTACCGGGCCCCCGGGGGACCCTGTATATAAAATCTGACATGCAGGTGTTTTCAGCGTTCACACCCCGATCCCCATATTCTCTGTCATCGGATTATCTCCTATCATCGGCAGCGCCATCTAGTGGTCGTCATTTTTTTTCATTTGTTCTACAGCTTTATGGCCACTAGGTGGAGCTGACGATGATAGAAGAATACCGATCGTTTGTTGTGTGAATGCTGAAGACAGATTTTTATCCATAGACCCCCCCACTACTACATACATAATCCTGCCAGCCCCCAATCCCTGATCCCGGGACTGCGCCCCCCCCCCCCCCTCCCGGGGATTGTAGGAGATCAATGATACCCGTTTTATGTATAGATCAGCATGAGGGGTCAGCAGGAAAGGAGATGTCACAGCTGGCTGTCGGTAATGGACCAATCTCGTGTCTGCCGCCGTGTATGACATGCATTGTATATTCTGCATTGGGCCCCCTGGATCTCATACAAGGTGACAGACATGAGATCCGACCATTACAGATCATTCAGCCTGCTACTGACTTTCCCCGCCAACATTCATTTAATTTCATGAGCACTATAGGAAAGAACACATCCTGGCATCCCTTTACATGTGCATGTCCCCCCTGCTTGCCACCGCGTACTCGTACTGTAGCTGTGCAATCTGCTGATCAACAGACCATCCAATAACCAGCAGGGGGAGCATGCATGTCTAAAAGGATGTCAGGGATGTGTTCTTTCATATAACATTGGTGCTGTAATGTTTACAGATGTCTACCAGCCCCTCCCACCAAAGACTAGAAGATTGCATAGTCTGCAGTACCCAGTGACAAATAGGGGGGAAGGGGGGGGGGGCATGATGCTCTAAAGGGATGTCAGGGATGTGTTCTTTCATATAATGATCAGGAAAAGTGAGATAAATGTTGCAAGGCCAATAGCGGGCTGACTTGTTGATAACAGTCTGATCTTGTGCTGCCATGCATGATATATATTGTATATACGGAGTAGTGTCCCCTATATGTACCATATATCTCTTACAGGGCAGCAGACATGAGATCAGGCTATTACCGACAATTCTTCCTGCTATTGGCTTTCACTGCCACATTAATTTTATTCCCTGCATATTGTATGAAAAAACACATCCCTGGCAAACTTTTAGACATGCATGCTCTCCCATGCTGGTCACTGTGTGCTTCAGACATTAGATGTGCAATCTGCTGATCACTCTGAGTGTAATCAAGCAACTGAACGGCAGATTGCACGGCTAAAGTCTGCAGCACCTAGAGGCCAGCAGGGGAAGCATGCATGTCTACAGGGATGTGTTCTTTCATATAACGCTGGCGGTAAGGAGCTGTGATGTTTACAGAAGTCTACTAGCCCCTCCCAACAAAGACTAGAAGATGATGTATAATCAAGCAACTGCTCAGCAGAGTGCACAGCTAAAGTCTGCAGCACCCAGTGACCAGCAGGGAGGAGCATGACCCTCTAAAGGGATGTCAGGGATGTGTTCTTTCATATAACGATCAGGGTATGAAATAAACGTTGGCAGGAAAGGCCAATAGCGGCTGTCTTGTTGATAACAGTCTGATCTCGTGCCTCCATGTATGACATATATTGTATATATATATATATATCTTACAAGGTGGCAGACATGAGATCCGACTATTACCGACAGTTCAGCCTGCTACTGACTTTCACTGTCACATTCATTTTATTCCCTGCATATTGTATGAAAAAACACATCCCTGACAGCCTTTTAGACAGGCATGCTCTCCCATGCTGGCCACTGTGTGCTTCGGACATTAGATGTGCAATCTGCTGATCACTCTGAGTGTAATCAAGCAACTGCTCAGCAGAGTGCACAGCAAAAGTCTGCAGCACCTACTGGACAGCAGGGGAAGCATGCCCGTCTAAAGGGATGTCAAGGATGTGTTCTTTCATATAACTCTGCAGGTCAGGTGCTGTGATGTTTACAGGAGTCTACTGGCCCCTCCCACCAAAGACCAGCAGAGGACATCACTGAGACTTTAATCTGCTGTTCTGGTTGTCTATAAAGTTTTGTTTTACAGTAATATTCCCACAGCCCAACTTTTAGTGGGAGTGAGCCACGCCCTGGGGGTGGGGAAGTGGGAGGGGATTGTTCTTTGGCATAGAAATAAGCCCAAAAACTGCTCCGCCTGTAAAAGGAAAAACATGGGGCGGAGTCAAAGGAAGGAAGGGTCTTGTGCATAGAACAGAGGCCACCAATCAGACGGCTGGGGCCGGGTGACACCGCAGAATCTTCCTCTTTCCTAAAACATGGGGTGGTCACTCAGGAAGGAAGACTTGGCCGCCCTGTTGATGCAGTCCGTCAGGAAGGTGACGCAGGCGCTGGAGTACCTCTCGGGATAGCGGCGGTAATGGCTGACGTGTTCCGACTTCTGGAAGTCCACGCTGTCGGTGGGCAGGCGGCGCTGGCGGCGGGCGGTCACCACGGTCTCCACGTCTCGGTAGGAGATGATGCGGTCGGCACGGGAGTAGAGGTAGAGCTGCGGCCAGAGGGAGGGGTCTCTCTTCATGGCGTCGTAGTGGTTCTCGTGCAGGAAGCGGGTCATCGGATAAAGGACGATGCGGAGGACGAACACCATGATGGCGAACGCGGCCAGGACCAGGTACCGCAGGGGCCGGCCGATGCGGGGTCTGAGGATGGTGTTGAGCGCCTGCACTGAGCCGTAGACGTTGCGGTTCCCTGGCGCGCTGTCGAAGGCGGCTCCGACCACCTGCAGCGCCCTCATCTTGGCGTCGGAGTGCAGCAGCTCGGTGATGTAGCGGTACAGCATGAAGCCGCCATTGCTGAAGACGTGAAACAAGACGGGGTTCACCTCCACCTCATAATCGAAGAGAAGATCGAGCAGCTTCTTCGCTTCCTCCCGCAGGTGACGCAGGCCGAACGACTCCGCGAAGAACACCGTCCTCCATGCTGCCGTGTGACTAATGACGATGCAGCCCTGCAAGGAGAGAGGCGGAGTCACAACAGCGCCATCCACAGGCTGAGTGTATACACACTCCATTCACAACATCGCCATCTACAGGGTGACAGTGTATATACACTCCATTCACAATATCGCCATCTACAGGGTGACCGTGTATACACACTCCATTCATAACAGCGCCATCTACAGGGTGACAGTGTATATACACTCCATTCACAATATCGCCATCTACAGGGTGACAGTGTATATACACTCCATTCACAACAGCGCCATCTACAGGCTGACAGTGTATATACACTCCATTCATAACAGCGCCATCTACAGGGTGACAGTGTATATACACTCCATTCATAACATCGCCATCTACAGGGTGACAGTGTATATACACTCCATTCACAACATCGCCATCTACAGGGTGACAGTGTATACACACTCCATTCATAACAGCGCCATCTACAGGGTGACAGTGTATATACACTCTATTCACAACAGCGCCATCTACAGGGTGACAGTGTATATACACTCCATTCACAATATCGCCATCTACAGGGTGACACTGTATACACACTCCATTCACAACATCGCCATCTACAGGGTGACACTGTATACACACTCCATTCATAACAGCGCCATCCATACAGGGGGTGACAGTGTATATACACTCCATTCATAACAGCGCCATCTACAGGGTGACAGTGTATACACACTCCATTCACAACATCGCCATCTACAGGCTGACAGTGTATATACACTCCATTCACAACATCGTCATCTACAGGGTGACAGTGTATATACACTCCATTCATAACAGCGCCATCTACAGGGTGACAGTGTATATACACTCCATATATATATACACTGACAGTGTATATACACTCCATTCACAACATCGCCATCTACAGGGTGACAGTGTATATACACTCCATTCACAACAGCGCCATCTACAGGCTGACAGTGTATATACACTCCATTCATAACAGCGCCATCTACAGGGTGACAGTGTATATACACTCCATTCATAACATCGCCATCTACAGGGTGACAGTGTATATACACTCCATTCACAACATCGCCATCTACAGGGTGACAGTGTATACACACTCCATTCATAACAGCGCCATCTACAGGGTGACAGTGTATATACACTCTATTCACAACAGCGCCATCTACAGGGTGACAGTGTATATACACTCCATTCACAATATCGCCATCTACAGGGTGACACTGTATACACACTCCATTCACAACATCGCCATCTACAGGGTGACACTGTATACACACTCCATTCATAACAGCGCCATCTACAGGGTGACAGTGTATATACACTCCATTCATAACAGCGCCATCTACAGGGTGACAGTGTATACACACTCCATTCACAACATCGCCATCTACAGGCTGACAGTGTATATACACTCCATTCACAACATCGTCATCTACAGGGTGACAGTGTATATACACTCCATTCATAACAGCGCCATCTACAGGGTGACAGTGTATATACACTCCATATATATATACACTGACAGTGTATATACACTCCATTCACAACATCGCCATCTACAGGGTGACAGTGTATATACACTCCATTCACAACATCGCCATCTACAGGCTGACAGTGTATACACACTCCATTCATAACATCGCCATCTACAGGGTGACAGTGTATATACACTCCATTCATAACAGCGCCATCTACAGGCTGACGGTGTATATACACTCCATTCACAACATCGCCATCTAAAGGCTGACAGTGTATATACACTCCATTCACAACATCGCCATCTACAGGCTGACAGTGTATATACACTCCATTCATAACAGCGCCATCTACAGGGTGACAGTGTGACTCCATTCACAACATCGCCATCTACAGGCTGACAGTGTATACACACTCCATTCATAACAGCGCCATCTACAGGCTGACAGTGTATACACACTCCATTCATAACATCGCCATCTCCTCCCTCCCTCCCTCCCACAATGCATTGTGGGTGCCTTCCCTGGTGGGGTCTGTTCATATGGGCCCAAGGCAGCTGCCTCTTTTACCTCCCCCTCCTTACTGGTCTGGGGGGGGGGCACTCACCTGCTGGCGGTAGAAGTGGCTGTATTTAGCCAGATGCTTCTCCTTGCAGCCTGCCCAGCCGAGAAGAATCACCACCGGCTCCCTCTGCTGGTCCCACCGAGAATCTGCCAGAGACAAGGATATACATACTGAAGGATATACATTGTGGCTGAGCGTCGGTGCGGGGGCAAGCGGTGCGGGGACAAGCGGTGCGGGGGACAAGCGGTGCGGGGGACAAGCGGTGCGGGGGACAAGCGGTGCGGGGGACAAGCGGTGCGGGGGACAAGCGGTGCGGGGGACAAGCGGTGCGGAGGGCAAGCGGTGCGTGCGGAGGGCAAGCGGTGCGGAGGGCAAGCGGTGCGGGGGGCAAGCGGTGCGGGGGACAAGCGGTGCGGGGGGGACAGCGGTGCGGGGGACAAGCGGTGCGGGGACAAGCGGTGCGGGGGACAAGCGGTGCGGGGGACAAGCGGTGCGGGGGGCAAGCGGTGCGGGGGGCAAGCGTGCGGGGGACAAGCGGTGCGGGGACAAGCGGTGCGTGGAGATGGACTGATCTGAGGTCTGCGTTGTGGTGTGATGGGGTGTTCTCTAGCAGTGATCCATGTGTAGAAGTACTCAGCTCCCTACATTCCGGGGTCTATTTATAAAGCATTCGATGGAAGAATGTCATGCAAGGTGCGCACATTCCCCGTGTTTCTGTAATACAGTCATTCCTGGGATTGTGAGCGCCCTCTAGTAGCCAATATGTGGTATAAGTTCTGACTGAGGGATTTCAGAAAACTGTGTTGTGGCCACTAGATGGAGGTGAAGATCCCAGAAAATAATCTATTACAGAAAATATGGGGAGAATTCATACACCCTACACCCTGCATCCTTCACCCTACACCCTGCGCCCTACACCCTGCATCCTTCATCCTACACCCTGCGCCCTACACCCTGCATCCTTCATCCTACACCCTGCGCCCTACACCCTGCATCCTTCACCCTACACCCTGCATCCTTCATCCTACACCCTGCGCCCTACACCCTGCATCCTTCACCCTGCGCCCTACACCCTGCATCCTTCATCCTACACCCTACACCCTGCATCCTTCACCCTACACCCTGCATCCTTCACCCTGCATCCTTCACCCTGCGCCCTACACCATGCACCCTACACCCTGTGCACTTCACTACACCCTGAATCCTACACCCTACACCCTTCACCTTGCGCCCTGCACCCTACGCCCGACACCATGCATCATACACCCTATACCTGTGCTCTACTCCCTTCACCCTACACACTGGGCCCTACACCCTGTACACTACGCCCGACACCATGCATCCTACACCCTACACTCCACACCCTGCACCATGCACCCTACTCCCTGCACCCCACATCGTACACCCTGCACCCCACACCCCACATCGAACGCCCTGCACCCCACTCCCTGCACCCCACACCATGCACCCTGTACCCTGCACAAATGATTGTGACATTCATCCAACAAATATTTTATTAATAGACCTCATACTGTAAAAGACCCCTGAAGGACCCAAACCATAGCTCCACCCCCTGACATCCTGTGGGCCCCCCATAGTGCAGACATAGAAAACAGTCAGACACCCAACAAGGAGGACTACAAATACCAGCCAGCCAATCCTGGGCATTTGGCAAATGGAAATACATCAAGCCAGGATGAAGTGTTACCATAGCAACTGATACCCCCCTACATGCCTTTATCTGCTCCCACTATAGGGGGTGCACAGGGGATCCAATCAGAGAGCTCACAGCCCAACCAACCAATCACAATTCAACCATCTAAGTGGTTAGAGAGACTCTGTACTGTCTGAGCTGCTGATAGATATCCCAGCCATTACACACAATGATCCCCGATCAGATCCCAGCCATTACACACAATGATCAGATCCCAGCCATTACACACAATGATCACATCCCAGCCATTACACACAATGATCCCCGATCACATCCCAGCCATTACACACAATGATCCTCCGATCAGATCCCAGCCATTACACACATTGATCCTCCGATCACATCCCAACCATTACACACAATGATCCCCGATCAGATCCCAGCCATTACACACAATGATCCCCGATCAGATCCCAGCCATTACACACAATGATCCCCGATCAGATCCCAGCCATTACACACAATGATCCCCGATCAGATCCCAGCCATTACACACAATGATCCCCGATCAGATCCCAGCCATTACACACAATGATCACATCCCAGCCATTACACACAATGATCACATCCCAGCCATTACACACAATGATCACATCCCAGCCATTACACACAATGATCACATCCCAGCCATTACACACAATGATCCTCTGATCACATCCCAGCCATTACACACAATGATCACATCCCAGCCATTACACACAATGATCCCCGATCAGATCCCAGCCATTACACACAATGATCCCCGATCAGATCCCAGCCAATACACACAATGATCAGATCCCAGCCATTACACACAATGATCCCCGATCAGATCCCAGCCATTACACACAATGATCCCCGATCAGATCCCAGCCATTACACACAATGATCCCCGATCAGATCCCAGCCAATACCGGAAGTGAGTACTAACCCTCCCATGGTAACACCAGTACTCCCCTTCTCCTCTGACTTCCTGTTGTGTCTCCCGGACAGGAAGTGAGGTAGGATCCTTCCCCGGGGTCACTGTCAGTCCGCTACGTCCCTGTAGTCTGATCTCCCCACTGTCCGTGTACCGGGTAGCAGTGACGTCACACATTCCGGGGGTCTCACCTGACAGGCCGGGCTCCGGGAAGAGGATGCTGTAGTCTAGGTCGGTGTCCCCCATAGCACCCTCTACTCTGCCCCGGGACCGACCGCCGACTTCCCCTCCGACTCTCCGCCAATCAGCGGCCCAAGATCCGATCACCTGATCCGCACTGCCCTCTGAGTCCCTGGATACCGTCTCCTAGCAACGTGACCGCGGCTTCACCCTAGCACGCCATTTCCCGCCCCCACCGGCGTACTTCATTGGCTGGATGGTTTCGACTTGGGGATTTCATTGGCTGCCGGCTCCCAGCCCGGAAATCTCATTGGCTGGTGATGTTTCTCGGCGACAAAAAGTGACCCGGGGTTCAGGTGAATATTTTGGGGTGATGAGACTGTGGTGCCCCCCCCCCGTGAGAGAAGAGCGCGGGGCCCCCAGTGTGTGAGATTAGAGCGCGGGGCCCCCAGTGTGTGAGATTAGAGCTCGGGGCAACCAGTGTGTGAGAGGAGAGTGCGGGCCCCCCTGTTTGAGGGAGAAGAGTGTGGGGCCCCCTTGTGTGTGAGAGAGAAGAGCGAGGGGCCCCCGTGTGTCGAAGAGGAGTGTGGGCCCTCTTGTGTGTCTGACCCCCATGTGTCAGAGAAGAGTGTAGGGCCCCCAGTGTGTCGAAGAGGAGTGTGGGCCCCCTGTGTGTGAGAGAAGAGTGTGGTCCCCCCTCCCCCCCGCGTGTGGGAGAAGAGTGTGGTCCCCCCCCCCCCCCCCCCCCCCCCCCCCCCCCGCGTGTGGGAGAAGAGTGTGGTCCCCCCTCCCCCCCCCCCGCGTGTGGGAGAAGAGTGTGGTCCCCCCTCCCCCCCCCGCGTGTGGGAGAAGAGTGTGGTCCCCCCTCCCCCCCCCCCGCGTGTGGGAGAAGAGTGTGGTCCCCCCTCCCCCCCCCCGCGTGGGAGAAGAGTGTGGTCCCCCCTCCCCCCCGCGTGTGGGAGAAGAAGTGTGGTCCCCCCTCCCCCCCGCGTGTGGGAGAAGAGTGTGGTCCCCCCTCCCCCCCCGCGTGTGGGAGAAGAGTGTGGTCCCCCCTCCCCCCCGCGTGTGGGAGAAGAGTGTGGTCCCCCCTCCCCCCCGCGTGTGGGAGAGAAGAGTGTGGTCCCCCCTCCCCCCCGCGTGTGGGAGAAGAGTGTGGTCCCCCCTCCCCCCCGCGTGTGGGAGAAGAGTGTGGTCCCCCCTCCCCCCCGCGTGTGGGAGAAGAGTGTGGTCCCCCCTCCCCCCCGCGTGTGGGAGAAGAGTGTGGTCCCCCCTCCCCCCGCGCGTGTGGGAAAGAGTGTGGTCCCCCCTCCCCCCCCGCGTGTGGGAGAAGAGTGTGGTCCCCCCTCCCCCCCCGCGTGTGGGAGAAGAGTGTGGTCCCCCCCCCCCCCCGCGTGTGGGAGAAGAGTGTGGTCCCCCCTCCCCCCCCCGCGTGTGGGAGAAGAGTGTGGTCCCCCCCTCCCCCCCCGCGTGTGGGAGAAGAGTGTGGTCCCCCCTCCCCCCCCGCGTGTGGGAGAAGAGTGTGGTCCCCCCACGTGTGGGAGAAGAGTGTGGTCCCCCCTCCCCCCCCCGCGTGTGGGAGAAGAGTGTGGTCCCCCCTCCCCCCCCCGCGTGTGGGAGAAGAGTGTGGTCCCCCCTCCCCCCCCCGCGTGTGGGAGAAGAGTGTGGTCCCCCCTCCCCCCCCGCGTGTGGGAGAAGAGTGTGGTCCCCCCTCCCCCCCCGCGTGTGGGAGAAGAGTGTGGTCCCCCCTCCCCCCCCCCGCGTGTGGGAGAAGAGTGTGGTCCCCCCTCCCCCCCCCGCGTGTGGGAGAAGAGTGTGGTCCCCCCTCCCCCCCCCGCGTGTGGGAGAAGAGTGTGGTCCCCCCTCCCCCCCCCGCGTGTGGGAGAAGAGTGTGGTCCCCCCTCCCCCCCGCCGCGTGTGGGAGAAGAGTGTGGTCCCCCCTCCCCCCGCGTGTGGGAGAAGAGTGTGGTCCCCCCCCCCCCGCGCGTGTGGGAGAAGAGTGTGGTCCCCCCTCCCCCCGCGTGTGGGAGAAGAGTGTGGTCCCCTCTCCCCCCCGCGTGTGGGAGAAGAGTGTGATCCCCCCTCCCCCCGCGTGTGGGAGAAGAGTGTGGTCCCCCCTCCCCCCCGCGTGTGGGAGAAGAGTGTGGTCCCCCTTCCCTGTGTGTGGGAGAAGAGAGCCTGAAGCCCCCCAATCCCACCCTTCCCAGGTGTGAGAAGAGAGGAGCTGGCAAGGGGAGCAACTCCAGGTGACCCCCCATTCCAGATAACCTCTCAGATTCCAGGTGTCTTTTGATGACCTCTGACAACCCCCATCACACAGACACAAATTCCAGGTGACCTCTGACCTCCCATTTGATTATTATATTACTATTATTGAGTTCAAGTCACCCCCCCATTATTGGACCCGCCCCCCCCCCAGTAATGGCGGAGTGGACAGGTCCCTGGATCTCCCCCTGGATGTGGGCGGTGTTATTGTCTGGCTCCTTGGGTCTGTCCTGGTCTTCGGCAGCCATTGCCGGGGCTGTACTCCCAATGAGGGACCTCCATCGATGAACCTGCAATCCATAGATCTGATCTGTCCTGGAGTGTGTGTGACAATTGCAGGGTTTAGTTTGTGCGATGAGATGATGTCATCAAATTTTGTGTCTCCTCCAGATCACTCCGAGCCGCCATCATGATCTCTGTGAAGGAGCAGGAGGCCATCAGCCACCTCATGGAGTTCTTCAAGGACTGGGACAATGGCGGTAAGGTCACCCGCTGCCGAATTCTCAACAACTTCATCACCTCCAATCAGGGGAAGAACGCGCCGGAACTGGAGGAGGAGTTTACCCAGGGGGGCAGCCTGTTCCTGGCCCGGATCACCACATGGCTGAGACTCTCGTATCCCAACATTCCAAGACTCTGCACAGTCCCACTTCTCCTGTCCTGGATGCCGGGTGTCATTCTCGGTATCTCCCCTTATTCTGTATGTATGGACTCTGCACAGTCCCACTTCTCCTGTCCCGGATGCCGGGTGTCATTCTCGGTATCTGTCCCCATTCTGTATGTATGGACTCTGCACAGTCCCACTTCTCCTGTCCTGGATGCCGGGTGTCATTCTCGGTATCTGTCCTTATTCTGTATGTATGGACTCTGCACAGTCCCACTTCTCCTGTCCTGGATGCCGGGTGTCATTCTCGGTATCTACTCTTATTCTGTATGTATGGACTCTGCACAGTCCCGCTTCTCCTGTCCTGGATGCCGGGTGTCATTCTCGGTATCTGTCCCTATTCTGTATGTATGGACTCTGCACAGTCCCACTTCTCCTGTCCTGGATGCCGGGTGTCATTCTCGGTATCTACTCTTATTCTGTATGTATGGACTCTGCACAGTCCCACTTCTCCTGTCCTGGATGCCGGGTGTCATTCTCGGTATCTGTCCCCATTCTGTATGTATGGACTCTGCACAGTCCCACTTCTCCTGTCCCGGATGCCGGGTGTCATTCTCGGTATCTGTCCCCATTCTGTATGTATGGACTCCGCACAGTCCCACTTCTCCTGTCCTGGATGCCGGGTGTCATTCTCGGTATCTGTCCTTATTCTGTATGTATGGACTCTGCACAGTCCCACTTCTCCTGTCCTGGATGCCGGGTGTCATTCTCGGTATCTGTCCTTATTCTGTATGTATGGACTCTGCACAGTCCCACTTCTCCTGTCCTGGATGCCGGGTGTCATTCTCGGTATCTACTCTTATTCTGTATGTATGGACTCTGCACAGTCCCACTTCTCCTGTCCCGGATGCCGAATGTCATTCTCGGTATTGTAGCAATTGTGCACACAGATATGGACGCGGTCATCCATCTTGCTCAAGATTCCCCATCTTATATCATTCTCTCTCCCTCCAATCCCCCTCCCTCAGAAATGTGGTCTGTGTGTATGCTGGGTTCACAAGTGCATCAGGCACATCTGGATACACTTCATGGTTGTAATCCCAAAAAGCTGGTGCCCGGGTGTCTGTTAGCTTCTCGATCTGAGGTGATCGTAAAGCTATAAACCTGTCCTTCACTGGACATGAAACACATTCCAGAATAGCCGTAAAACATACATCCCATTTAAAAAACACTTTTCATAACTTAAAATAGGGAATACATACCATCGAACAAAGCATATATTCGGATATCTCAGTTTAATGCGAGTCGCCTGATATCTTACACCCCTAGATTACGTCTACCCGAGAGCAGAAAGCGATATCTCTTTAACCGTCACAGGTAGATATGGCATATCTGATATCTAGACGGTCAGCAGATGATTCTGCATATTATCCTACTAGTGGATAGGATGCTGCATGTACCTATGGAAGATTATTGACCATGGTATAAACGTGTGAGGGATTTGGTCATAGCAGAGTTCCCCGCCTAAACACCCTCCCCAAATGAGGCAATTGGTTCTCTGCTTTAAGGAGACACCCTGCTGGTGGACTAGAGAATAGGCTGTCAGCCCTGAGAGAGAGAAGTTGAAGAATTCTCCCTTTTTAACATCAGGAACCTACTTGGGAGAACGGGACCCTTTTGTTCGGGACCTTGATCTGCTTAAACCAGTGTTTCTCAACTCCAGTCCTCATGGACCCCCAAAAGGTCATGTTTTCAGGATTTCCCTCAGATGAAACAGCTGTGATAATTACTAAGGCAGTGAAACTGATCAAATCACCTGTGCAAAATAATGGAAATCCTGAAAACATGACCTGTTGGGGGTCCATGAGGACTGGAGTTGAGAAACACTGGCTTAAACCAAGGCTGGGGGCAAGTACTCTACCTCTCTAAATGTCTTACTGTTATCTCTCTGTTGTGGTATTGCTCTCTGTATATATATATATATATATATATATATATATATATTGGCTACATCTTTTTCTGTAAATATTTTTATTGCACCATTTTTGACCTTTTTGGTAATAGATCCTATTGTCTGAAAAGTGTTGAACTGTTTCTAAAGCTCTTTAATGCAAACTAAGAATCCCTGTCTCTGAAGAGCGCTACTGTGTGTTTTAAAACCTCTGGATACATCTGCCTGCGGTGACAGTGTGTATACAGACGCTTATATTAACCCCTCGCCTACAGGGCACTTATACCCCCTTCCTGCCCAGGCCAATTTCCAGCTTTCAGCGCTGGCACTCTTTGAATGACAATTGCGCGGTCATGCAACACTGTACCCATATGACATTTTTATAATTTTTTTTGTAACAGATAGAGCTTTATTTTGGTGGTATTTAATCACCTCTGGGGTTTTTATTTTTTCCTAAACAAACCAAAAACCACTGAAAATTTTGAAAAAAAAAAAAAGTTTTTTCTTAGTTTTTGTTCTAACATTTTGTAAATAAGTGATCTTTCTCCTTCACTGATGTGCGCTAATGAGGCTGTAGTGATGGGCACTGATAGGTGGCACTGATGGACACTGATAGGTGGCACTAATGGGCACTGATGAGGAGGCACTGGTAGGTGGCACTGATGGGCATTGACAGGCATCACTGATGGGCACTGAAAGGCAGCACTGATACATGACACTAATATATGGCACTGATAGGCAGCACTGACTGGCACTGTTAGGCTACACTGACTGGCACTGTTAGGCGGCACTGACTGGCACTGATAGGTATCACTGACTGACACTGATAGGTGGCACTGACTGGCACTGATGTGTGACACTGAAAGGCAGCTCAGATGGGCACTGATATGTGGCATTGATGTGCACTGGTAGGCACTGATATGTGGCATTGATGTGGCACTGATGGGCACTGACACAAGGCACTGATGGACACTGACAGGTGGCACTGCTGGGGCTACACTGATCATCAGTGCCCTGATGATCAGTGTACATGTCTCCTCCGCGGAAAGCCGATTACCGGCTCTCCGCTCCTCTCCTCTGTCAGCGTCACAGCTCGAGAGGAGAGAAATGCTGATAACCGGCATTTCCCTGTTTACATGTGATCAGCTGTGATTGGACACAGCTGATCACATGACCGAGCCGACATCTTCGGTTCTTTCCGGTGATCCACTGTGTCCGAGGGACACAGCGCACCGCCGATCGCTGCGCGTTCCCTGAGCAGCGCATGCGCGGTTAGAATGAGAGGACGTCATATGACGTCCTCCCAGAACGAGAGAACCGCCTTGCGCCCGTCATTGGACTATATGGTGGGTGGGAGGTGGTTAATATCATAGTGTTATTGCTAAGATTGGTGAGTTTCCTCTTTCTCCGTATAAAAAGGTGGTGGTGGCAGTGTGAAGGGTTAATTGAGTAATTAACCTGACCCAGTAACAATCGCTCTCAGGCTGTTGGCACATTGATTGTGGTCCAGTGAGCTGGAAAATCTTTGTTCAGGGAGCAGCTGAGAGGGGCATTGTTACGCACGTGACAGCGCGGTTTTAGATTGGCTGGTCCTTCGGTCACGAGTTGGGGAGAAGGGCTGGGGGTCTGACGCCACGTTCATCACAGCTCCTCTTATTCTGTATGTATGGAGTCTGCACAGTCCCACTTCTGTCCTGGATGCCGGGAGTCATTCTCGGTATCTGTTCTCGGTATATGGTGATTCTCCTCAGCCTATACTCAGATATATGTTCGGGACGTGTCTGAAGGAAATTTTGCAGTCTATCTCCATTTTCCTCTCATCTGCCGGCAGGTAAGTGTCCCTGTGATGTGTCCAGTATGTTATGTTGTATCCAGTGTGCTGAGTTCAGTCATTGTATCAGATATACCCGGAGTGTTCCAATGTAGCACAGGGGGGCGGGGCATCACTTATTTCTCTTGTATTCTGGGTAAAGTTCAAAGTACAACATTTCGGGGCTACCATGGATCGCTTCCTCATTTAATTGTGACAGTTATGTGAAACCAACACAGAGTATACATTGGCTTTGGCTATGAGACTTCGGTCGCACCAATCCCACTTTGAAAATCGTGCGACTTCACTTGAAGTTGCACGATTTTAAAGTCGGATGTCAGTACAAATTCACATGAGATTTGCAAGACATCTTTGCAAAGATGGCTATGCAAGTTGCACCTGAACTTGCAAAAAGTAGTGCATGCAATACTTTCAAAATCAGTTTGGTCCCAAACAAGTCAGAATCGCACCGATATGACCGCTTCAATTGCCGACAATACGGTGCGACTGAATCACATGACAAGTGCACTGATCTGACCAGGCACTGAATGTGTTGTGTCTGCTTCACATAGGTGTCCATGTGTCTCTGGTCCTCACTGCTAGGCTCCTGAAGGCTGTATCTTGGCCATCCTGCCCATATCTCTATTCCTCTGAGAGCCATGTACAGTTGTGTTCAAAATAATAGCCGTGTGTTGAAAAAACTGAATAAAGCTGAAAATCCTTCTAATAGCTTTTATTTCCATCCACACAAATGCATTGGGAACACGACACATTCTATTCCAAATCACAACATGAAGAAAAATACATCAAATTTGTGTTGTTCCTCTAAAAAAATTGAAGAAAAGTGAATATTAGACGGTTCAAAAAAATCGCCGTGTTTGTATTCTTCTTTACAAACTCAAACATTCACTATATAAACTGAGAAATGTTTGAAGATTTTGCTTTCCTTTGAATGACTTCATGAATATTTGGTTGTAGTCGCACTGTTTCTGAGAACTGCTGTACATCTGTGTTGCATGGAGTCCCCCAACTTCTGGCCCCTGTGATCAGGTATTCCAGCCCAGGATGATTGGACCACATTCCACAGTTCTTCTCTATTTCTTGGTTTTGCCTCAGAAACGGCATTTTTGATGTCACCCCACAAGTTTTCTATTGGATGAAGATCCGGGGATTGGGCTGGCCACTCCATAACGTCCATCTTGTTGGTCTGGAACCAAGATGTTGCATGTTTACTGGTGTGTTTGGGGTCGTTGTCTTGTTGGAACACCCATTTCAAGGGCATTTCCTCTTCAGTATAAGGCAGCATGACCTCTTCAAGTATTCTGATGGATTCAAACTGATCCATGATCCCTGGTATGCGATAAATAGGCCCAACACCGTAGTATGAGAAACATCCCCATATCATGATGCTTGCACCACCATGCTTCACGGTCTTCACAGTGTACTGTGGCTTGAATTCAGTGTTTGGGGGTCGTCTGACAAACTGTCTCCGCCCACTAGACCCAAAAAGAACAATCTTACTTTCATCAGTCCACAAAATGTTGCGCCATTTCTCTTTAGGCCCAGTCAATGTGCTCTTTGGCAGATTGTAACCTCTTCAGCACACGTCTTTTTTCCAACAGTGGGACTTTGCGGGGACTTCTTGCAGATAGCTTTGCTTCACATCGGCGTCTTCTAATTGTAACAGTCCTCAGAGGGAACGTCACACCTTCTTTCATCTTCCTGGAGCTGATTGTTGGCTGAGTCCTCACAGGGAACGTCACACCTTCTTTCATCTTCCTGGAGCTGATTGTTGGCTGAGTCCTCACAGGGAACGTCACACCTTCTTTCATCTTCCTGGAGCTGATTGTTGGCTGAGTCCCCGCCATGTTGGCTATTCTTCTATCCATTCCAATGGGAGTTTTTTACTTTCTTTCACGTCTTTCAGGTTTTGGTTTCCATTTTAAAGCATTTGCGATCATTTTAGCTGAGCAGCCGATCATTTTCTGCACTTCTTTATATGTTTTCCCCTCTCCAATCAACTTTTTAATCAAGGTACGCTGTTCTTCTGAACAATGTCTGGAACGACCCATTTTCCTCAGAATTTCAGAGAGAAATGCACTGTAACCAGCATGTCCAACATTTGCTGCCTTCCTTCCTTAAATAAGGGCAATAATTGCCACCTGTTTTTCAAAGAATGAATGACCTCACTAATAGAACTCCACACTGCTATTATTTTGAACACGCCCCTTTCAATGAGTGATTCAATGACACAGAATCAGCAGCATGCATGTCATGACTGTTGGGTCTGTTGGATTTCTATTACTCTACTACACCTGCTAGGAAATTATTTGCCATGTAGAAATATCATTTCCACCAAAAACAGTGATTGATCCGGTTAGTGATGTCTGACTGATATTATTTTGAACACAACTGTATTGGCCATCCTGCCCATATCTCTTTTCCTCTGAGGGCCATGTATTGGCCATCTTGCCCATATCTCATTTCCTCTGAGGACCATGTATTGGCCATCCTTCCCATGTCTCATTTCCTCTTAGGGTCATGTATTGGCCATCCTGCCCATGTCTCATTTCCTCTGAGGGCCATGTATTGGTTATCCTGCCCATGTCTCATTTCCTCTTAGGGTCATGTATTGGCCATCCTGCCCATGTCTCATTTCCTCTTAGGGTCATGTATTGGCCATCCTGCCCATGTCTCATTTCCTCTTAGGGTCATGTATTGGCCATCCTGCCCATGTCTCATTTCCTCTTAGAGCCATGTATTGGCCATCCTACCAAAAGACATTGTCCTGTGTACAACGGGAGCTGTGCAACTGTTGCTATTCTGACCATGTGCGATACCACGTCTGCTATTTCATCATGGACAGCAAGTTACAACAAAGAGCAAACATGAAATTTTGCGTGAAACCGGGCAAATCACTGGATCTCCACAATATTGTCAAAACGGCAAACTTTGAGCTGGATCTCCACCTTCGGGAAGAAGTCATTTTCAAGCTTGTTGAAGGTCTTCCTGATCTGTCATTGTCTTCCAGTGATGTTCTTCCACACTGGTACCACTCAAATGAAATGATGAAATAGCAGACATGGTAACGCACGTGGTCAGAATAGCACCAGTTGCACAGATCCCGATGTACACAGGACAGTGTCTTTTGGCATACTGACCTATGAAGGACGGTGCTCCCTGTGACTGTGTGTGCAGTCCTGTACTGCCATCTGTTGGCGTGTTACAAAACTAGTCTTAAAACTTTTTTATGCCACCTTGTATCTTTTCCATCCTGCTCTTTATCTAATTTCCCCTGATAGCCATATCGTAGCTATCTTGTCCATCTTGCCTGTATCTCATCTCTTCTGAGGGCCATTTATTGGCTGTCCTGCCTCTATCTCATTTACTCTCAGGGACATATTTTGGTCACCCTATGTATATCTCATTTCATCTTGGAGCTGTATCATGGCCAAATTTTATGTATCTCATTCCTCTGAGGAACATATTTAGGCCATCTTGCCTGTAGTCCATTTATTGGCCATCTTTCCTGGTTCTCATTTCCTCTGAGGGACATATCTTGGGCACCCTGCTTATTTCTTTTTTCCTCTAAGGGCTGTATCTTTGCCATCCTGCCTGTGTCTCATTTCCTCTGGGGGCCATATATTGACCCTAGTGCTCAATCTTCATTTGCCTCGAGGAATATATCTTGGCCACTCTACTTATATCTTATTTCCTCTTAGGGCTGTATCTTGGCTAACCTATATGTATCTCATTTCCTCTTAGGGCTGTATCTTGGCCAACTTTTATGTATCTCATTTCCTCTGAGGGACATGTCTTGGCCAACCTATATGCATCTCATTTCCTCTAAGGGGCATATCTTGGCTAACCTGCCTGGTCTTTATTTCCTCTGAGGGTATGTATCTTGGCCACCCTACCTATATCTTATTTCCTCCTAGAGCTGCTTCTTGGCCAACCTTTATGTATCTCATTTCCTCTGAGGGACTCATCTTGGCCATTCTGCCTATTTCTAATTTCCTCTGGGGGCCATATAATGGCCATCCTGCCTGATTTTAATTTCCCTCCGAGGAATATATATTGGCTACCTTACATATGTCTTATTTCCTCTTAGAGCTGTATCTTGGTCAACCTATATGTATCTCATTTCTTTTGAGGGAAATAGCTTGGCCACCCTGCTTATATCTTCTTTCCTCTAAGGGCTGTATCTTGGCCATCCTGCCTGTGTCTCATTTCCTGCGGGGGCCATATATTGACCATAATGCCCGGTCTTCATTTCCTCTGAGGAGTATATCTTGGCCAACCAACTTATATCTTATTTCCTCTTAGGGCTGTATCTTGGCCAGACTATATGCATCTCATTTCCTCTTAGGACTGTATCTTGGCCAACCTTATGTATCTCATTTCCTATGAGGGGCATATCGTGGCCAACCTGCCTGGTGGTTATTTCTTCCTAGAGCTGTATCTTAGCCAACCTTTATGTATCTCATTTCCTCTGAGGGACTCATCTTGGCAATTCTGCCTATTTCTCCTTTCCTCTGGGGGCCATATAATGACCATCCTGTCTAATCTTCATTTCCCTCTGAGGAACATATATTGACTACGCTACTTATATCCTATTTCCTCTTAGAGCTGTATCTTGGCCAACCTATATGTATCTAATTTCCTCTGAGGGACATATCTTGGCCAACCTATATGTATCTCATTTCCTCTGAGGGGCATATCTTGACCAATCTGCCTGGTCCTCATTTCCTCTGAGGGGACATGTTTTGGCCACCCTACCTATATCTTATCTCCTCCTAGAGCTCTATCTTGGCCAACCTTTATGTGTCTCATTTCCTCTGAGGGACATATCTTGGCCAACCTATATGTATCTCATTTCCTTTGAGGGACATATCTTGGCCAACCTGCTTGGTCCTCATTTCCTCTGAGCAGACATATATTGGCTACCCTACATATATTTTATTTCCTCCTAGAGCTGTATCTTGGCCAGCCTTTATGTATCTCATTTCCTCTGAGGGACTCATCTCGGCCATTCTGCCTATTTCTCATTTCCTCTGGGGGCCATATAATGACCATCCTGCCTGGTCTTCATTTCCCTCCGAGAAATATATATTGGTTACCCTACTTATATAATTTCCTCTTAGGGCTGTATCTTGGCCAACCTATATGTATCTCATTTCCTTTGAAGGACATATCTTGGCCACCCTGATTATATCTCATTTCCTTTTGGGGTACATATCTTGCCCATCCTGCTAGTATCTCATTTCCTCTGAAGGGCATATAATAGCCACCCTGTCTTTTATCTCATTTGTGTCTTATTTTCTGTGCCGAGCAGTGGTCGTTATAAGGTGGAGTTTGTGGAGGTTGGAGGCATCCTGACGCTGCTGGAGATTTTGGGATTGAAACAGATAAATGATCAAAACAAGATAGAGGCTCTGAAAATTCTGCAGATCCTGGGCCGATCCGGACGAACATACAAAGAGCTGATCTGTGAGAGCTACGGTGAGTACCGGGGAGTGACACAGTGTCTGTGAAGATCTGTGCATAATGCTGGTCACACACAATGCAATCTGATTGTACAACCTCCTTTAGATTTTTCATTTATGCAGGAGGGTACAGGCAGTACTCTTGTACCCGGCCCAAGCTCTACCGGGTCGACAGAGTGGCTTGGGCCGAGCTCAGAGTACTCTTCTGTTTCCACCTCCCATCCCTGTCAGTGGAAGAGAGGAAGGTACATGCTGTGAAGGTAGGTAGGTTGTACAGGACCCCATGATTTCTGATGGTGGCCCTGTATGAATGGGATCATTTCTTCAGGCAGGATCTCGGGGTACATAGTTTTGGTAAATGTAAAGTAGATTGTCTACAGGCATCACAAATAAATTGGTAGATGTCTGCGCATGTACATTGTCACAAATCACCAATACGAGGATGAACCACCAAAACAAGAAATTGTTATAGTTCAAATTGGACGAAGAAAATGCAGCCCATTGAAAGCTCAGCTCTTTTATCTCTATGTAATGTATGAAGTCACTGCATGCTTCGCCCACACAGGAGTGCGTTATGAAGTCACTGCATGCTTCGCCCTCACAGGAGTTCGTTCTGTTGCTGAATGTCTGGCCAAGTCTAAGTTAGAAGAGACTCAGGAACAGGCCCAAGTGCTGCTGGAGCTCCTGGCTCACGGGAACCCCAAGTACCAGACACAAGTGTATAAGGGGCTGATCGCCCTCCTGGCCTGCGACTCCCCCAAAGCCCAACACCTGACCCTGCAAACACTGCGCACTGTGCAGGTAAGTGACATCACACGGGGCTTCCTCCATTTCTCAAAAAAAAAAACCTCTGTGTTGTCATAGGTCCAAGGTTTGGCCTCACTAGTAGTAGTTTGTATCTCTGCCCCTCCCACAATGGGGAGATTTCCCTGCAGTAGTTTGTGTCTCTGCCCCTCCCACAATGGGGAGATTTCCCCGCAGTAGTTTGTATCTCTGCCCCTCCCACAATGGGGAGGTTTCCCCGCAGTTGTCTGTGTCTCTGCACCTCCCACAATGGGGAGGTTTCCCCGCAGTTGTCTGTGTCTCTGCACCTCCCACAACGGGGAGATTTCCCCGCAGTAGTCTGTGTCTCTGCCCCTCCCACAATGGTGAGATTTCCCCGCAGTAGTTTGTGTCTCTGCCCCTCCCACAATGGGGAGATTTCCCCGCAGTAGTTTGTGTCTCTGCCCCTCCCACAATGTGGAGGTTTCCCCGCAGTAGTCTGTGTCTCTGCCCCTCCCACAATGGGGAGATTTCCCCGCAGTAGTCTGTATCTCTGCCCCTCCCAAAATGGAGATTTCCTTGCAGTAGTTTGTGTCTCTGCACCTCCCACAATGGAGATTTCCCCGCAGTAGTTTGTGTCTCTGCCCCTCCCACAATGGAGATTTCCCTGCAGTAGTTTGTCGTCCGTCCCCCCCCCCCCCCCCACAATGGAGATTTCCTCGCAGTAGTCTGGATCTTTGCCCCTCCCACAATCACTGACCATGTGATAGAAGTCATAGATAATGTAAATATATAAGATAAGTGTGAATTAAACCTTTTTGGCTAAATAAATATCCCCCTCCCACCCGCCAATCTAATCTCCCGCCAATCTAATCTCCCTGCTGCCTCTGCAGATTACCATTGATGTACATATAACATACAGGATAGGAATGTACACAAGGAGTATCTAATGAGCACTGTGATTGGTTGATGATTTGTTTGTATTACTGGCTATTTAATGTGGAGCAGGTAAGTGATTATGTGCCTACACAGTGAAATCCAGATGTCCTTGTGGTGGGGTTGTATGGGGGGGGGGGGGGGGGGGGGGGGGTGGGGGGTGGGGGGGGGGGGGGGGGGGGGGGGGTATGGGGGGAGGGGGGTGGGGGGGGGGGGGGGGGGGGGGGGGGGGGGGGGGGGGGGGGGGGGGGGGGGGGTGGGGGGGGGGGGGGGGGGGGGGGGGGGGGGGGGGGGGGGGGGGGGGGGGGGGGGGGGGGGGGGGGGGGGGTGGGGGGGGGGGGGGGGGGGGGGGGGGGGGGGGGGGGGGGGGGGGGGGGGGGGGGGGGGGGGGGGGGGGGGGGGGGGGGGGGGGGGGGGGGGGGGGGGGGGGGGGGGGGGGGGGGGGGGGGGGGGGGGGGGGGGGGGGGGGGGGGGGGGGGGGGGGGGGGGGGGGGGGGGGGGGGGGGGGGGGGGGGGGGGGGGGGGGGGGGGGGGGGGGGGGGGGGGGGGGGGGGGGGGGGGGGTGGGGGGGGGGGGGGGGGGGGGGGGGGGGGGGGGGGGGGGGGGGGGGGGGGGGGGGGGGGGGGGGGGGGGGGGGGGGGGGGGGGGGGGGGGGGGGGGGGGGGGGGGGGGGGGGGGGGGGGGGGGGGGGGGGGGGGGGGGGGGGGGGGGGGGGGGTGGAGGGGGGGGGGGGGGGGGGGGGGGGGGGGGGGGGGGGGGGGGTGGGGGGGGGGGGGGGGGGGGGGGGGGGGGGGGGGGGGGGGGGGGGGGGGGGGGGGGGGGGGGGGGGGGGGGGGGGGGGGGGGGGGGGGGGGGGGGGGGGGGGGGGGGGGGGGGGGGGGGGGGGGGGGGGGGGGGGGGGGGGGGGGGGGGGGGGGGGGGGGGGGGGGGGGGGGGGGGGGGGGGTGGGGGGGGGGGGGGGGGGGGGGGGGGGGGGGGGGGGGGGGGGGGGGGGGGGGGGGGGGGGGGGGGGGGGGGGGGGGGGGGGGGGGGGGGGGGGGGGGGGGGGGGGGGGGGGGGGGGGGGGGGGGGGGGGGGGGGGGGGGGGGGGGGGGGGGGGGGGGGGGGGGGGGGGGGGGGGGGGGGGGGGGGGGGGGGGGGGGGGGGGGGGGGGGGGGGGGGGGGGGGGGGGGGGGGGGGGGGGGGGGGGGGGGGGGGGGGGGGGGGGGGGGGGGGGGGGGGGGGGGGGGGGGGGGGGGGGGGGGGGGGGGGGGGGGGGGGGGGGGGGGGGGGGGGGGGGGGGGGGGGGGGGGGGGGGGGGGGGGGGGGGGGGGGGGGGGGGGGGGGGGGGGGGGGGGGGGGGGGGGGGGGGGGGGGGGGGGGGGGGGGGGGGGGGGGGGGGGGGGGGGGGGGGGGGGGGGGGGGGGGGGGGGGTTTCTTGGGGGGGGGGGGGGGGGGGGGGGGGGGGGGGGGGGGGGGGGGGGGGGGGGGGGGGGGGGGGGGGGGGGGGGGGGGGGGGGGGGGGGGGGGGGGGGGGGGGGGGGGGGGGGGGGGGGGGGGGGGGGGGGGGGGGGGGGGGGGGGGGGGGGGGGGGGGGGGGGGGGGGGGGGGGGGTATGGGGGGGGGGGGGGGGGGGGGGGGGGGGGGGGGGGGGGGGGGGGGGGGGGGGTGGGGGGGGGGGGGGGGGGGGGGGGGGGGGGGGGGGGGGGGGGGGGGGGGGGGGGGGGGGGGGGGGGGGGGGGGGGGGGGGGGGGGGGGGGGGGGGGGGGGGGGGGGGGGGGGGGGGGGGGGGGGGGGGGGGGGGGGGGGGGGGGGGGGGGGGGGGGGGGGGGGGGGGGGGGGGGGGGGGGGGGGGGGGGGGGGGGGGGGGGGGGGGGGGGGGGGGGGGGGGGGGGGGGGGGGGGGGGGGGGGGGGGGGGGGGGGGGGGGGGGGGGGGGGGGGGGGGGGGGGGGGGGGGGGGGGGGGGGGGGGGGGGGGGGGGGGGGGGGGGGGGGGGGGGGGGGGGGGGGGGGGGGGGGGGGGGGGGGGGGGGGGGGGGGGGGGGGGGGGGGGGGGGGGGGGGGGGGGGGGTTTGGGGGGGGTGGGGGGGGGGGGGGGGGGGGGGGGGGGGGGGGGGGGGGGGGGGGGGGGGGGGGGGGGGGGGGGGGGGGGGGGGGGGGGGGGGGGGGGGGGGGGGGGGGGGGGGGGGGGGGGGGGGGGGGGGGGGGGGGGGGGGGGGGGGGGGGGGGGGGGGGGGGGGGGGGGGGGGGGGGGGGGGGGGGGGGGGGGGGGGGGGGGGGGGGGGGGGGGGGGGGGGGGGGGGGGGGGGGGGGGGGGGGGGGGGGGGGGGGGGGGGGGGGGGGGGGGGGGGGGGGGGGGGGGGGGGGGGGGGGGGGGGGGGGGGGGGGGGGGGGGGGGGGGGGGGGGGGGGGGGGGGGGGGGGGGGGGGGGGGGGGGGGGGGGGGGGGGGGGGGGGGGGGGGGGGGGGGGGGGGGGGGGGGGGGGGGGTGGGGGGGGGGGGGGGGGGGGGGGGGGGGGGGGGGGGGGGGGGGGGGGGGGGGGGGGGGGGGGGGGGGGGGGGGGGGGGGGGGGGGGGGGGGGGGGGGGGGGGGGGGGGGGGGGGGGGGGGGGGGGGGGGGGTTGGGGGGGGGGGGGGGGGGGGGGGGGGGGGGGGGGGGGGGGGGGGGGGGGGGGGGGGGGGGGGGGGGGGGGGGGGGGGGGGGGGTGGGGGGGGGGGGGGGGGGGGGGGGGGGGGGGGGGGGGGGGGGGGGGGGGGGGGGGGGGGGGGGGGGGGGTGGGGGGGGGGGGGGGGGGGGGGGGGGGGGGGGGGGGGGGGGGGGGGGGGGGGGGGGGGGGGGGGGGGGGGGGGGGGGGGGGGGGGGGGGGGGGGGGGGGGGGGGGGGGGGGGGGGGGGGGGGGGGGGGGGGGGGGGGGGGGGGGGGGGGGGGGGGGGGGGGGGGGGGGGGGGGGGGGGGGGGGGGGGGGGGGGGGGGGGGGGGGGGGGGGGGGGGGGGGGGGGGGGGGGGGGGGGGGGGGGGGGGGGGGGGGGGTGGGGGGGGGGGGGGGGGGGGGGGGGGGGGGGGGGGGGGGGGGGTGGGGGGGGGGGGGGGGGGGGGGGGGGGGGGGGGGGGGGGGGGGGGGGGGGGGGGGGGGGGGGGGGGGGGGGGGGGGGGGGGGGGGGGGGGTGGGGGGGGGGGGGGGGGGGGGGGGGGGGGGGGGGGGGGGGGGGGGGGGGGGGGGGGGGGGGGGGGGGGGGGGGGGGGGGGGGGGGGGGGGGGGGGGGGGGGGGGGGGGGGGGGGGGGGGGGGGGGGGGGGGGGGGGGGGGGGGGGGGGGGGGGGGGGGGGGGGGGGGGGGGGGGGGGGGGGGGGGGGGGGGGGGGGGGGGGGGGGGGGGGGGGGGGGGGGGGGGGGGGGGGGGGGGGGGGGGGGGGGGGGGGGGGGGGGGGGGGGGGGGGGGGGGGGGGGGGGGGGGGGGGGGGGGGGGTGGGGGGGGGGGGGGGGGGGGGGGGGGGGGGGGGGGGGGGGGGGGGGGGGGGGGGGGGGGGGGGGGGGGGGGGGGGGGGGGGGGGGGGGGGGGGGGGGGGGGGGGGGGGGGGGGGGGGGGGGGGGGGGGGGGGGGGGGGGGGGGGGGGGGGGGGGGGGGGGGGGGGGGGGGGGGGGGGGGGGGGGGGGGGGGGGGGGGGGGGGGGGGGGGGGGGGGGGGGGGGGGGGGGGGGGGGGGGGGGGGGGGGGGGGGGGGGGGGGGGGTGGGGGGGGGGGGGGGGGGGGGGGGGGGGGGGGGGGGGGGGGGGGGGGGGGGGGGGGGGGGGGGGGGGGGGGGGGGGGGGGGGGGGGGGGGGGGGGGGGGGGGGGGGGGGGGGGGGGGGGGGGGGGGGGGGGGGGGGGGGGGGGGGGGGGGGGGTGGGGGGGGGGGGGGGGGGGGGGGGGGGGGGGGGGGGGGGGGGGGGGGGGGGGGGGGGGGGGGGGGGGGGGGGGGGGGGGGGGGGGGGGGGGGGGGGGGGGGGGGGGGGGGGGGGGGGGGGGGGGGGGGGGGGGGGGGGGGGGGGGGGGGGGGGGGGGGGGGGGGTTTTTGGGGGGGGGGGGGGGGGGGGGGGGGGGGGGGGGGGGGGGGGGGGGGGGGGGGGGGGGGGGGGGGGGGGGGGG